GACTGCTTTTGCTTGTTTGAGGACACAACAGAGGGGCTGAAACATATTCTGAGCTTGTGCAATGGCCGAGGGTGACTTCCTGGTTTCCCACGCGAAGCGAACCCATGAAGAAACACCACCGGGACATCATTGCCATTTCGGGTATCCCAGAACTTCACACACAAAGCGCGCCAGAGGGGACTCGAACCACTATCTTTGCACATTGGCACGGTGGACCCTGTCCATCGTGTCAACGTGCACACACATTTGGTTTTGAACCTGCATGCCAGGGATAGTAGCGACTCACGGGTACCTTCTCAAAGTTGAAACATGTGTGTCGTGTGATTGGAAAACACCATCCGGCAAGCCCTGACAAAGCAACGATGTGAGACAGCCCAGCGTGAGACACCAGTGCGCGGCCCGCCTCCTTGTGTGGTTGCAAATCCCTAGTACACACCATGTCTCAACAAAAGGGTTTCTGGTGAATAACATAAAATCCAAAGTGCAGCTTCCGTCAGTTTCCGTGCCATGTCGGTTGGCTCCGCGGCGGGGCCATTTGAGGCGAGCCTGGCCTGCTTATAGTTGCCCGCTTCACTCTGCAATCGGGCCTCGAGATCAAGCGTGGCATGTGAAAATGCGTTGCCACTGCGGCTCCAACCCAACCCTAAGGAGGGAGGGGTGTAATTAGACGGTTTTGTTGGCACTGGGACCGCGCCCTCATGGACTGCCCCAACATCAAGCCTTTGGCATCCTGGAAAGTCTGGTGGACCAACAAGGAAGTGGCCGACGTGGCCAAGGAGGTCCATAAAAACCTGGTGATTTCGGAACTTCCTGGCAAAGCTACAATTGTGACTTTGGCAGCTGCTGGGAAGGTCTCGGAGTGCGATTTCGATCATCCTTGCAACTCTGCCGTGGCTGAGGGGCTTTTGCGGGGTTACCCAAGAAATCGGCAAGGCAGTGCCTACTTCTTTGGAGACGCGGTGCTCTTCCTAAATGATGTTCTCATGAAAGGCGCTGTTCTTGGTGAGAAACAGGTGAATCCCATGAAGGAGGATCAAAGAAGGGAGTCAACTCTAAAGGAGGGCGCAAAGTGGAAGTTGCTTATCAGCTATGTTCGCCAGAAGGCTAGCAGACACGAAACGTCCAACAAAAAAGTTTTGACTTTTTTAAAGTCGCTGTCCGGGCGGGCTCCAACCAAATCACCAACGAGCTCCAGCTCTGCAGCACCGACTCCCTCAGAAGCGAGAGATGGGAAGCTTACCTGCATGATCCGCATGTGATCTAACAGGGTTAAAGGGAAATGTGTGTCCCACCCCTACTGAACCGAATGGTTTTCGTGTTTGCTTTTTATTTGCCAAGGACACCTGACATCGTTGAGATCGAGGATGAGGAACCAGCCACTCCCAGCAGCCCCATCTTGGAGCCTGGCTTTGCAAGCCGCAGCCGTGGCGATCTGGAGTTGCTGACCTTGGACATTCTGGGGCTGCTCATCTGTGTGCAGCAGCTTTGTTGGAGCGTTACGTGTTTGGGAACCTATTTAAGAAAATTGCCATTGGTCGCCCTGATGAGTTGCTTACCTAGGTTGCGGCCTTCCACAGCCATCAGTCAGTACCACCTGGATTTGGAAGTCCAGAAACTGTGGTTCAAGGACTATGTGTGTTATTCAAGCTTCAAAATGGGGATCCAAGCTGGTTGGTTTCCCTTCTGGTTTCCCGAACTGAGCAATTGCTTGAATGCGTAGGACACGGCGTTGATGCCAGCTCCCATCGAGCCAACCCATTTTGACAAGAGCGGGCACATCGAGGATGGCCAGCAGGACTTCGACCCTGAAACCATCGCTGCCCAGCAGAACAAACTTGCGGCGCCTTGTCATGTTGGAGCTCAAGTTGGCAACCGCTTCGTCAAACACAACAGTAATTATGACCGAAGCCTTTTCCTCTTCCGGGATCGTAATCCATATGTTTCCAAAGCAAATACCCCTGCCTCCAGCAAGGGGTTTCACCCTTCGTGGGGTGCCTTCGATGCAAAGACAATCCTTCCACATGTGAAAGAAAGTATGCAACATCATGCAGGGTTGGCTGCAATTTCCTCTTGGCGGCGCCGGAAGATTCATTGGTTTCACATTTTCGCTGTCTGGGGTCTATGCTGGTGCATATTCTTCTTGAAGCCATTGCTTCTCCAAGGGTTTTAGCTTTGTTTTAAGGCACAAAGTCCAATTCACCCTCCTTAGCCCAACACATTTTACTGTTCGTTGCCCAGGCAGAGAGCAAGGACAAAAAGCGCGCTGCGCCTACGCAAGAGGGTGTCCAGGCTATCCCTACGCAAGGTGTGGCCCACGCTGCCCCTACGCAAGAGGGTGTCCACGCTGCCCCTACGCAAGAGGGTGTCCAGGCTACTGCAGAGAGCCAAAGCCCTGAGGACACTCAAGTTCTTTCTGCAAAGCGGGCGCGGCAGGGTGAGATGATGGGATTGCCGGATGGTTCCTAGCTTGAGCCTGGTGTGATGCTGGTTTATTTTGATTCCTGTTTCAAAGCCTCATACAGAAAACGCGCCAACTGTTGGCAAATGTTGTTTCAGAAAACGGTTGAGGGGTTTTCCACCCTGATGCATGCTCCCCAAAGCCTCATACAAACTCTTCCACCAGTTTGCAAATTGTGCAAACAAAAAGCGGTTGAGGGGTTGTCCACCCTAATGCCTGCTCCCTAAAGCCTCATACCAAACTCTTCCACCAGTTTGCAAATTGTGTTGCAAGCAAAAAGCGGTTGAGGGGTTGTCCACCCTAATGCCTGCTCCCTAAAGCCTCACACAGAAACACACCAAACTCTTCCACCAGTTTACAAATTGTGTTGCAGCAAACGGTCGAGGGGTTTTCCCTGCTCCCCAAACCTCACACAGAAAACACACTAACGCAATGTTGGGGCATCTCGAAAATGACCTTGTATGACGTTGGCAAGTGATTTGATGGACTTTTTGCTTCCCCAGTGAAAAAGAATCACTGCGCAGGTTTCCAAGACCCAAAATTCTGGTGTATTGCATTAAAACGGTTGAGGGGGTTCCCATTTTGATGCCTGCTCCCCATTAATAGCCTCATGCAGAAAACAAACACAAAACTCTCTTTTAATGAGTTCTCAGTCAGATCCCAACTGCGCGACAATCTGAGGCTTCCCGGAGGGCGCGGTCCCGCAGGGGCCTCGCAAGGGGCGCTTCAGCTACACGATTTGTTCTCCCACGGGCGCTTCGGTGGAGGTGCTGGTGAAGCAACGGGCTTTCAGGATCAAGCGAGTTGGCGACCCAGGCCGGTAGTGCCCCAACAATTTTTGACTTGCTTTTCCAACATTCCTTGCAATGTGGTTTTGCTGGATTCTAACCTTCTTTGTTTTCACAATCCCCTGGAGGTCGGACTGTGCCTCTATATGCGGTTCCCCAGCAACCATGGTCAGGTAATGTCCATAGTGCGTGGGAGTGGGCAAAAACCTACTCCGGCTGGGAATAGACTAGCCTTTTTTGGTCAATGATGACGTTGGCTGGATGCAAAGGCTTATGCCCTAGATTTTGACTGAGGATTGCCTTTGAGCACAAACAAGTAGTATCGTGGGAACAACCGATAAACAAAGTTGACAAATGCCTCTGCATTCGGCATGTGATCACATTAGGATTCAATCTAGCGGGGTTGCGCACGTGCTATACACGTGTCAGAGCTATGACGGGTGATGGGGTGCGAAAAGGTTGGCAATTGGGTAGGGGGATTTAAGCCTATGGTATTCCCCTTCTTGATTTCCAATAGTTATGTTGTTCCTGGTGGGTGGTCCCTTCACAGTCTTTTGAGATTTACGGTCTCATCTTGGGTTCCCCTTTTTGTTTATATGGTCTTTCACTTTTACGAGTTGCCGGTCAGGGATCTTCCGCTTTTCAGAATGTTGATCACTCCCTTCAAAGGGGAGTGGGCTTGCTGGGAAACAACAAGGGAAGGTCACGATAGTCGTTTGGTCGAACCAGCCAAAATCAGTCTTATACTTTTGTATTTGAGAACGGCTGTCTGGACCTTTGCTTTTTAAAAGACAAGGGATACTTCGTGATAATCGTTTCATCTCAAGGTGGCAAAACGATGCCCTCGCTGAAGGGCTCAGAATAGATATCAGGTGGTATCAGCAAGCAGTTGGCTATAGGATGGAAACAAATTGCATTCCTATCCACCTTGTTTCGGCAACACGCCATGGGAAAGCCTGCCAAGCGCCGCGCTGTGGCTGAAGATGCCTTGCCGCGGAGCCTGCCGGCAATGCCAAGGGAATGCCACCGATTGACAAATCGCCTTCTCAGCCAGAAGGCTCCCTATGTTCTTCTGAGACTGGTGGTGGCCCTTTATACGTACGCTGGGCCTGAAGTGGATTTGAGCCAAACTTATGATGCCGTGGAGTATTTCTCTGGAGCCATGGCAGTTTCTCGGATATGGAACATGGGGGGAATTGGAGGTTCAAATTCACCGCACAGTCTGAATTCCATCCATTTGGCGCAACCCTAGGTCAGTGCTTGCTGGCGCAACCATGGTTACACGATTGCGCCGTATGACACCTGCCTGTCCCCTCGGATGGACATCCTGTCCCCTACCGGGTTACTGGACTGCATTGCGCCATGACATTGCAGCACACACGCTCCCACCCATTTTCAGCCAGCGAGGTACTTGACCGCAATTCTTCTAGCAATCAAGCTCCGCGACTTTGGGTTTTCAATGTTGGGGACTGTTTGCAGCTCGTGGGTATTTCTGAATCGCTCAGTGTGCCTCCTCTGCATTGTGAGAGGTTGCTCCAGTTGCTCATTGAGCCTATCTGCTGTTTCGCTGTCATTCGCGAGCTAAGATCACGCAGAACGCTATGGTCACCCCTTGGAGACCGACGGCAACCCAGTGTGCTCAGGGCAAATGCCTCTTGGCGGAAAAGCAGCTGAAGTGTTTCATCGTTTCTACGGCGCAATCTGTTTGTAGGCGTAGGACCCAAATAGCCTTTTGTGCTTTCACATAGCTGGCGTCGCAGGCAATGGTGAGTCGCGTATGCCTTCTTCTGTACATCATCCAAGCCCGGTCATGCCTGTGGCTGTATGAACAGCCAGCGAGTTCCTTGCTTTGGCAGCATCCACGGATGCAGCTCGTGTTTGCCCAAATGAGGGTGTTTCGCCAGCGTGTGTGTATGGGAAGCTTTGGGTCGAAGACATTAAAGCCTTCCCTTCTCTACGCCAATTCCTGTGACGTGGTCTCTTTTAATCGCCCTCCGCCAGCATCAGGATTATCACATGATGCTTGCACGGCTCGACGGGCTGTAGATGGATTTGGAGACGTGAGGGTCTCCGGAGGGCCCGATCTTAAATCAACCCAGGCCTACACGGCCGAGTTTGCCCTTGCGACACTTAAATTCTGGGAGGAAGCTGCACGTTTCACTCACCCAGATGCCAGTGGGCCATGTGATGTGCAGGATGACCCATGGCATGATGCCGTGCTTGTCGAGGTGTTCAAAGCTATGAATTAAGTTCCACTTCAGGCCCATGCTTGTAATTCGCGCACAACATGCAACATCCGAGGGAAAACCAAGTTCATGCAGCACGACCTTCAAATGCGCAAAGTGACACGTGTGTCCACAACACAGTCAAGCGTTTCTTTCGCCAGGGCTACAACGAGAAGATGTGCATCTTTGCTGGCGGATGGTGATCGCCAGCCACAAGGACCGTACAGCTTTGTGTTCAACACATTAAAAAACCACAACAATTGTGCAAGTGGCTCTGATGACCCTATCCTTCGGATTTGAAGATCACCTTATCCTTCGAAAAGGGGTTGAAGATCTCATCCTGATGACCTTGCCCTTTTGAAAACCACTTCAAATTGATACGTGTGTCCACAACACAGTCAAGCGTTTCTTTCGCCAGGGCTACAATGAGAAGATGTGCATCTTTGCTGGCGGATGGTGATCGCCAGCCACAAGGACCGTACAGCTTTGTGTTCAACACATTAAAAAGAAAACAATTGTGCGAGTGGTTCTGATGACCCTATCCTCTTATGACCCTTTTGAAAACCAGTTCAAATTGGGTTGTATTCACTCTCATGACCGTGCCCTTTGCGAAAGGTGTTTGAAATTTCATTTGGATCAGGGCTTGTTGCAAAGGTTTCACTCTGATGAGGGTTTGAAGTGTTCCTTCTCACAGATTTCACTGCCCTTTTGCAAAGGTTTCACTCTGATGAGGGTTTGAAGAACTTTGTGAGGGTTTGAATAATTCCTTGAAACCGTGAAGACCGTGAAAACTCCGTGATAAGACCGTGAAAACTCGTGAATATTCACGCTTTCGGATTTGCAACTTGATTGTGACATCTGCAGCCTTTTGGGCGCCTTTTGGATCCTTTGAGTCCCTTTGGGGCACCTCTGAGTCATGCCAAAAAAGGGGAAAGCCCCTAGTTCTGCATCCCCCATGGGATGCCCGGTCGAAGCGGTGGCCTCACACCCTGCCTTTGCGCCTGCGGCACCCGCTACGCCTGTCGCATCAGGAAAGGCAATGGCTGCAAAGGCCAAACCGCCCCAGAAAACGGATTTGCTGGAGTTCCAACCAGCCACAAAGAAAACCAAGCAGGAGTTCTTTGCCAAGTTTGCCCCCCCAGAGCCTTCCCCCAGTCGATCTAAGCGTGAAGGGCTTGGCGCTGATGAGCTACTTGCGCGCTTCAGGGAGGCTGCTAGGATGAACGGGTTCTCCTTAGATGACATCATCAGCGGGAGCGTGGACGCAAACACTACGCCGGCATCAACGCCGAAGTCTACAACATGCGACGAGGGGACTATGTCGGAGATTGAGGCTGATTTTGAGGAGGGCAAGGGCGGTGATGATACTCAGGATGAGGAGGAGGAGGAAGCTAGCGAGGATTCTACGCAGGATGCGTGGGATGAGATGGCCATTGCGGCTGCGAAGGATGAGCTTGATAAGGCAAACCTTGCGGCGCAGCAAGCTGCTGCCAAGGCCGATCGGGTCAAGGCGGCTGCCGAGGCACGCTGCAAGCAGGTCAAGCGGGTCAAGGAGGAGTTGGGTGCAGAGCCTGCGAGCAGCGCAAAGAAACGGGCTGTCGTGGGCGATGCTGCTGCCGCTGTGGCTGCTGGGGGCGCTCTGCAGGGTGGCGCGGGAGACGTTGCTATGCGGGAGGACGCTCTGGTTGTCACGGAGCCTCGGAAGCCTGCGCTCAGGGCTGGCGTCAAGGCGGCCGGTGACTCTCAGACAGGCGGTGGCAAAGACGCTCAGAAAGGCGGCGGCGAGGACGCTGGCGGTGGCGAGGATGCTCAGAAAGGCGGCGGCCAGGATGCTCAGAAAGGCGGCGGCAAGGACGCTCAGAAAGGCGGCGGCCAGGATGCTCAGAAAGGCGGCATGGTCGTGAAGTTCGAGGCACGGGCTTCCTATGCACACATACCCTTTGTTTCCCTACGCTCGAGAAACAAACTTGCTGACGTTTCTGAAGAGTGCTACTTTGGAAGCTTCGTGATCGTGGGAGTTTTTCCCAGGTATGAAACTGTGCGTGCTCTGTCAGGATGATGCTGGCGGTCGCACAACAACATCCCCCGCGCTGGCTGCTGCCAGCCGTGAAGCTGCTGCTGCTGGAGGTCATGCGCCAACAGTGTCCAGCACAGTCAATAGGGCCGAGTACATGCAATTCCTGCGGGCTGGTGCCAACGCGCCCCTTGACCAATGTTGAGTGTTGCTGAATTCTTTTGGAACTTGTGGGCATCGTTTCACACGCGCTGTCAACAATGCAAACCTGGCTCACGCATCATTGGCTGAGGAAGAGGTGTCCCGACCCTTCTTTGCGGAACATGTTTGCCCAAGGGGGCGCCTCCCGCACAGAGCTCTTTGCGCTGTGGATGGATAAGAACAAAGACTTCAAGCAAGTCAAACTCGAGCTTACCCGTCGCTCCATCGATCGCACTACGGCCAACGAACCATGACAAGGCTGCAGTTGGAGAACTGTGGCAAGTACTCTACAGCGCCCTTTCTCCCTTTAACAATTGTTTTGTTTCACGCTCCGATTCCTTTCTAATGTCTAAACTCTACAACGTAATGAGTACGGTTGAGTTATTTTGGTCCCAACGAGGAAGATGTGAACGACATCACGAGTCGATGTGAAAGGGAGGGCCGCGTGATCAAGGACCCCAACTTCCCTGACAGGACCGATAAATGGCTCTATGTGCTCCACACGGACATCTCTGTGCAGAAGCTTTGTCACAATAGCAAACATTTTCCCCATGTTTCTCCACATCTACTCATATTTAACCCGGGTCGCTTCTTTGAGATCTCGACTTTTTGAAATGACGACACCACCACATCCCTATAAGAATCTTTTTCGGGAGCACCCGGCTCGCACAGGCGGCAAGCAGTCAAGGAGGATGAGATGGCCTTGAAAGGGAGTGTTGGTGTCCAAGACGCGGACGCGTTGGGCCATGTCCTTTCCAGTGGCCCGCTCGGCAGAGACGAGGTCCCTGGCTTCACCGACGTGACTCCCGGGGCGGATCCAGCGCCTACTAAGACGAAGGGCGGCAGGACGAAGACCAAGAAGGCCAAGTCTACAGGCGGTGGCGGCGATGGCGGGGGCGATCCTGCAGAAGTTGTGCCCACAACGCCTTTGGACAAGGCCAAGGGCGCCCGCAAGGCCATCCTCAAGGAATGCGAAGACGCAAGGTCGTTGGCTTTGTCAATTGATGGCCTTGAGTGCTCGGGCGAGCTGCAGGAGGGGCTCACGGTGCACGCAGATTCGCTGACCAAGCTCTACAAGCAGATCAACGACATGATTCTACAGGGCGTGAACGAGGGATCGCAGTACAAGCCGATCTTTGACACGCATGATCAGCTGAGCAACTGGTTCAAGCATCGCAAGCGCATTGCGAAGTCGATGAAGTCGGCTGCTGAAAATGCAGCTTTGGGCGATGACGACTAGGGCTAGGGCGTGACGTTTGGGTTACTCTTTTAGATTCGAGTTGCAGAGCAACGCGGGCCATGTACACAGACGGTCTGCCGGGGATTGTGTCTGCTTGCAAAAAAAAACGTGTGTGTGTGTGGGTCAGGCACTGCATCCTTGCCATAAAACGTTTGTCTTATAGTCAGTCCCCCGAAAGCGGATGGTTGCCCTTGGTTCCCTTCAGACCCAATTGGATTTTTGCGGGTGTTTCCACCACAGTGGGTCTTAAATACATCTGATTTTTGCGGGTATTACCTCCAATCGTAAAGTCTTCTCTCAAAATGCATTTCATCGGCGCAAGATAGATTCCGAATGTGATACAAGATGATGACCAAGGAAAAGACAATGGTACGATAGACGAGCGATATATATATATATATAAAGGTTCAGTTTGGACGCCTGCCCGCCCATGCAAGTTTTCAGGACCTTCGTCCAAGCGCCGCCGCATCACGGAGCCTGAGGGGCTGTTGGCCACTGCTTTGATCAGTGACGTTGCTCAGGGAGCGTCTTGGCTGGTGCAAAAAAAACTACAACAAGGGACCGATTCCCGCTTTTCCTTTGATTGATGCAAAAAACCCGTCAACAAAATCCAGGTGCTTGCTATTGGGCTGGTGCCGAAAAACCGACAACAATGACCACTGTTTGTTCGGAGGGGTGTTGTGCAACAAAAACCAAACAACGGAACCGATTTGACTGGTGCAAAACCGGCGGTGCTTGTTTGCTCAGGGAACGGGGGCTGGTTTCAAAAGCCGACAACAAGGACCCCTGTTTGATCGGAGGGGTGACAAACTCCAGTATATACTGGAACCGATGCGTGTTTCCCCTTTGATGCAAAAACCCGTCAACAAGTAATAGGGGGGCTCTACAAAAAAAACACCACCAAGGAATATGTGCGTGTTTGGTCTGATGCAAAAATACCGCCAACACGGAACTGCAGGTGCGTGTTAAGCCGCCAACGGGGGCAGGTGCGTGTTAAGCCGCCAACGGGGGCAGGTGCGTGTTTGCTCAGCAGGGGGGGGAGTGCACAAAAAAATGTCTTCCATTTGGTTAATGATATTTGTGTTTCCCCTGTTGGTTCTAAATGGAGTCTACCACTACTGGAAATGTTTATCTTTCCAGCGGGCTTATAATCAAATGGAGTATGATTGTCTTGTTGAAGTGATACCTCAAACCTACGAAATGCACACTCGCATTTGATAAGGCCTTGTGATTAGGCGCGGCCTCCCTTTTATATCCAAGCCCCAGAGGGAACATAGCACTGGTGACCACAATTATATCGTTTGTGGCGCGTGAGGTTCTTCATCCAACGCTGACCCAACGCTATGCCAACCTGGCCTACCAAGATGGACTTGACGATGGGGATCTCAGGCAAATTGCTAGCCTTGCCACTTGGGGGAAACATCCACAGAATGTGTCCCGTGATTTGCATCGCTTTTTGCCTTGCGCGTATGGCTCCGGCCTGGCGACCCACAACATTGTGATAAACGCCTGGGACAACAAGACCTCAAGTATTCAACAAAGAGAGCTGCCTATTTTGCTTGCTTCTGACACTCTACATGCTATTTGGACAACAAAGAGCAACGCCGCGTGGACTGAGTGCTTGGGTGGCACCTATGACTTGTGCAAAAGCTATTGGGATGATGCTGGTCAAACGTGGGCCCGTGATCACCCGGTGGTGCAGCAAGGATTGCAATCCCTGACAGTTCCAGCGCCTTAACTTCAATCAACAGTATGGGGCATGTCAAAATTTTATGTTCCATTTGTGCGGGATTTAGGTTTGTATCGAGGGTTTTGCCCCGCCAAGCTCCGCTATACCAATGAAGGTAAAACGTTGTTTGTGTTTTCCAAACCAGTGTATGGTCTCATTGCCCTTCGTAGGAACACGTTTGGAGATGAATATGTTACACTCACTCAAAAAACAACCGTCCAATTCTCCTTCGATTATCATGTTTGCTCTGCGTTGTTTGGGTTACACCAACAAGTGACCAGGTGAAGTTCTTCACAGACGGCGCTGAGTTTAAAACCAACCATGAGATGCTTTTTTGGCTTTGGTCTTCGACCTTGGCGCAAGGAACCTGTAGCTGGAACATCAAATTCCTTTTTGGTGCTATCCCGATGAAACTGCTACCCACAAAAGATTTGAGAAAACAAGCAAACGATGCCATGGTGGACGCCATCCGGTGGGACATGGAGACCCTTTTGAGTGGCAAATTTCCATCGCTCGATCAGTGTGGGTTGCCTTTGCCTGGCCCTCGACTGCGCAAGGCAGGCGGGTGGATTGCCCCGACTGCCCAAGGCGATGGCTGGAGACTGGGGTTTGACGCTTGGTGCGGGGACTGGAAAGAACGCGCTTTGTCACACAATTACGTTGGTCGCAATTACCAATCAACAAGGGTGTGCGATGCATGCGATGCAATTCAAATATTTGCAAGAACACCCAGGCGCCTTTGGAATCTTTCTTATACCAATTTTGACCTTGATGCGCCGTGGCAATTCACCCGGGTGTCGCACGAACAGTATTTGGACCGCACCCCCGAGCCACTTCGAAGCCCATGGTGCAAGGTGCCAGGTTTCAAATCGACACGTGTGCAGTGGGAGCCAATGCACGTGATTTTGATGGGGGTGGCTAAAGATATAGCTGCCAGCATCTTGTGCGACATCGACGCCTGGACTACTTTGTTTTTTTGCGCCCAAAGGTTGCGTGAATTGAATTTTCATTGAAGGCTCCACTACTTGAAGGTTTCGTTCTGGCCTATTGAACAAACCAAGGTTGAGCTTCACCTACTCACCAAACTTCACACCCAGGGGGCCGAGCTGCAAACTCTTCGTGGGGTTCCTTTGGATGGCATCGACTCACACAGCGAAACTATGAGGCGGTGCGGCATCGGCTTCAAGTCTTGGTGCAGGGCCCGGGCTGTGGATCCACCGCCGGTTTACTGGGACATGAACCTGATCGGGCGTGACAACAAAAAGACTTTCCCGGTGCTCCATTCGAACGTGAAAGCTAGCCAGGTGAAAACTCTGATGTTTTTCGTGGCGGACCTGGCAACTGAAATCAATCAGTACTGCGATTGTCCCTTTGCTGAATTGCTTCATCCCCATACATAACCTGGTTGCAAACGCATTTCTTGTATCCCTTTCTGGTGAAGTGTGTTGTTTGATTCCTCCGGAGAAGTAGTTTTGATTTGGCACGTGGCTTTCTGAGGGAACCTTTCCAATTGGCCCTTGAGGTCTGGGATGTCGACACCGTGCAGCGGCGGGTTTTGGAGTTTCAAGCTACCTTCATTGCACAGACCGGCCAGTGCTGAACTTGTCTCAAGAATTGCGGCAGCAAGCAATCAGGGCAGGGCGAGGCTGTTTAGCTGCTTACAAAGCCCTTGCGTCGCGCAACCTTTCCAACAAGAGGTGCAATTACAAAATCCGGCCGAAGTGGCATGCATTTTGCCATTTGGTTTATGACCTGCAGTACTCACATGAAAACCCGAGGAAATACAAAACCATGCTGGAAGAAGATTGTTTAGGAAAGCTGACTCGTTTGGCAGAAAAATGCCCTGCCAGCAATGTGACATTGCGGCTGTTGCAACGATACCAAATCTATTTGGCAATGCGCCTGCGTGAGCTCGAGTGAAATCATTGTGATACAAGACAACAGGCCCATCCCTCAGTATTCCCTTGATGATCATCAAGACCATGCAACCATACTCCTCGTTTTGGCTTGGTTACTGAGCTCGCGGCATGAGAAGCATTGCAGAATTGCACGCGACGCGCCCGGTGCAAAAAAACATTGAGGAACGATGGTTTGCAACTAAGTGGTTGAAGTTTTAGCTGGATCTTGCATCGACGCGGCATGTTTGAGCCCTCAGAGGGAGCGCAATTGCCCCCAAAACATGTGGCTTTCCTGTGATTCCAATCAGGTACGAAAACATGTCCATTGTCCGGTGTACCATGCACTTGCCCTTAAAAGTAGCCCTCCGCTCTAAAAAAACAATTTGTGCATTTCTTGCTTGATTAACAATAAGGTCACCCAAAGTACTTGTTTTGCGCAGATTGGAGGGTATTTGCAGTGCTCGACCGCGGTGATTGTTTTTTGCATGGGATTTGACATCAGGTGCAAAGCAATTTCTACATGAAACAGGGTCCCTCAAAAGCTTCCCAAAACACCGCAGAGTTTGTTTGGGCAGAGACAAAAAACTCACATTACCCCTATAGTTGGTGGTTAAGTTTGGGGGTTGCGTTCATAGCCATGTATATATATATACAGCTGTATTTTGCTTGATTGTGCCAAGATAGCAGAGCTATCAGGGTGATTGCGAGTAAACAAACGCAATTGCGCTTGCCGCCCGCCCGCGGTTACCTGACGGGACATTGCGTTCGTGCGGAGCGCGGTGCAGGTGGTGCGTAGCCAAATGGTGCTAGCGTCGCGATGCTGCAACTGATCAGCATGTTGCACTTTTGCGCGCTCTGTGTGCACTTTGAGCCAAGCCCTGCTCCGCTGCTTTTGCTCTGGGTGCTGGTAAACTTGGCCCCGACCTTCTGCACTCGATGGGACCAATGTAACTCAGAACTCGGAGCCTGCTGGAAGGAGCTTTATAAGTAGCTTTAGAAGAAGCTTTATAAGAAGCTTTATATGAAGCTTTATACGGAGCTTTATAAGAAGCTTTAAGATAGGCTGTATAAGGAGCTTTGTAAGAAGCTTTATAAGAAAACCTGTATAAGGAGCTATACAAGAAGCTTTATAAGAATAGATTTATAAGGAGCTTCATAAGGAGCTCTATAAGTAGCTTTATAAGGAGTTTTATAAGGAGCTTCCAAAGGAATTTAAACTTGTGCAGGTTTGCAAAAAATGTAAAATTGTAGAGAATTAGCTTTTTACATTTTTTGCAGAAGTGGCCATTGCCAGCTAGCCGGTTTGCAAAAAAATGTAAAATCCAAATGTGTGTTGGTTTTTACATTGGAGCTTTTGATAAGAAGAAGCTTTATAAGGAGCTTTATAAGGAGCTTTATAAGAAGCTGAATAAGAAGCTTTATATGAAGCTTTATAAAGTGCTTTATAAGTAGCTGAATGAAGCTTTATAAGAAGCTGTCTATGAAGCTTTATAAGGAGCTTTTTTCAGAAGCTTTGCAATGGGCTGTATAAGGAGCTTTGTAAGAAGCTTTATAAGAAAAGCTTTATCAGGAGCTTTATAAGGAGCTGCAGAAGTGGCCATTGCCAGCTAGCCGGTTTGCAAAAAATGTAAAATCCAAATGTGTGTTGGTTTTTACAATTTTTGCAGACGGTCTGGAGCTTTTAATAAGAAGAAGCTTTATAAGAAGCTTTATAAGGAGCTTTATAAGAAGCTGAATAAGAAGCTTTATATGAAGCTTTATAATGTGCTTTATAAGTAGCTGAATAAGAAGCTTTATAAGAAGCTTTATATGAAGCTTTATCAAGAGCTTTATAAGAAGCTTTGTAATGGTCTGTATAAGGAGCTTTGTAAGAAGCTTTATAAGAAAAGCTTTATCAGGAGCTTTATAAGGAGCTTTAAAATAGGTTTTTTGGAAAGCTTGTGAAGAAGCTTTATAAGGAGCTTTATAAGGAGCTATAATGGGCGTCATAAGGAACTGTACAAGGAGCTTTGTAAGAAGCTTTATAAGAAAAGCTGTATAAGGAGCTTTATAAGAAGCTTTATCAGCAGCTTTTTAAGGAGCTTTATAAGTAGCTTTATAAGAAGCCTTATAAGAAGCTTTATATGAAGCTTTATACGGAGCTTTATAAGAAGCTTTATAATGGGCTGTATAAGGAGCTTTGTAAGAAGCTTTATAAGAAGACCTGTATAAGGAGCTATATAAGAAGCTTTATAAGAATAGCTTTATAAGGAGCTTTATAAGGAGCTTTATAAGGAGCTTTATAAGGAGCTTTATAAGGAGTTTTATAAGGAGCTTCCAAAGGAACTGAAAGTTGTGCAGGTTTGCAAAAAATGTAAAATTGTAGAGAATTAGATTTTCACATTTTTTGCAGAAGTGGCCATTGCCAGCTAGCCGGTTTGCAAAAAATGTAAAATCCAAATGTGTGTGTGTTTTTACATTTTTTGCAAACGGTCTGGATTTTGATAAGAAGAAGCTTTATAAGGAGCTTTAGAAGGAGCTTTATAAGAAGCTTTATAATTGGCTGAAAAAGGGGCTTTGTAACAAGCTTTATAAGAAAAACTGTATCAGGAGCTTTATTAAGAAGCTTTATCAGAAGCTTGAAAAGGAGCTTTATAAGTAGCTTTATAAGAAGCTTTATAAGAAGCTTTATATGAAGCTTTATACGGAGCTTTATAAGAAGCTTTATGATAGGCTGTATAAGGAGCTTTGTAAGAAGCTTTATAAGAAAACCTGTAAGAAGCTTTACAAGAATAGATTTATAAGGAGCTTAAGGTTGTGCAAGTTTTCAAAAAATGTAAAATTGTAAACAATTAGATTTTACATTTTTTGCAGAAGTGGCCATTGCCAGCTAGCCGGTTTACAAAAAATGTAAAATCCACATGTGTGTGTGTTTTTACATTTTTTGCAAACGGTTTGGAGCTTTTGATAAGAAGAAGCTGTATAAGGAGCTTTATAGGGAGTTTTATAATAGGCTTTGTAAGGAGCTGTATAAGGAGCTTTGTAAGAAGCTTTACAAGAAAAGCTGTGTAAGGAGCGTTATAAGAAGCTTTTTAAGAAGCTTTATAATGGGCTGTATAAGGAGCTTTGTAAGAAGCTTTATAAGAAAAGCTGTATAAGGCACTTTATAAGAAGCTTTATAAGAACCTTTATAAGGAGCTTTATATGAAGCTTTATAAGAATAATTGCTCATAAAGATGTATAAGGAGCTTTATAGAAGCTTTATAAGAATAGCTTTATAACGAGCTTTATAAGGAGCTTTCTAAGGAAATTTATAAGAAGCTTTAAAAAAAAGCTGTGTAAGGAGCTTTATAAGAAGCTTTATAAGAAGCTTTACAAGAAGAGCTTTATAAGGAGCTTTATAAGGTGCTTTATAAGATCCATCCCAGGACATTAATTGGCACATGAACTAAGCAGATACTGGCAGGATTTACTTCAGTTTAAGCAAAAACATGCAAATCATGCAGGTGTAAAATACATTTATGCAACAAATAATGTCCCCCCTGCAAGTGGCATTCTTTGATGACCATGTGTTGGCAAGCCAACCGAATTTCATCTGGAAGCCCTGGTTTAATAAGGTAAGAATGGAAACAAAGTGGGAACAAAGCGGGAACAAGAACCCGACAAAGTGGGAACAAAATGGGAACAAGAACCCCAAAGTGGGACAAGAATGGGAACAAAGTGGGAACAAAGTGGGCACAAGAACCCCAAAGTGCGACAAGAATAGGAACAAAGTGGGAACAAGAACCCTAAAGTTGGACAAGAATGGGAACAAAGCGGGAACAAATTGGGAACAAGAACCCCAAAGTGGGACAAGAATGGGAACAAAGTTGGAACAAAGTGGGAGCAAGAAACAAGAATGGGAGCAAAGTGGAAACAAGAACCCCAAAGCGGGACAAGAATGGGAACAAAGTGGGAACAAAGTGGGCACAAGAACCCCAAAGTGGGACAAGAATGGGAACAAAGTGGGAACAAGAACCCCAAAGTGGGACAAGAATGGGAACAAAGTGGGAACAAAGTGGGAACAAGAACCCCAAAGTGGGAACAAAACAAAGTGGGAACAAGAACTCCAAAAGTGGGACAAGAATGGGAACAAAGTGGGAAACAAGAACCCCAAAGTGGGACAAGAATGGGAACAAAGTGGGAACAAAGTGGGAACAAGAAGCCCGAAGTGGGACAAGAATTGGAACAAAGTGGGAACAAAGTGGGAACAAGAACCCCAAAGTGGGACAAGAATGGGAACAAAGTGGGAACAAGAACCCCAAAGTGGGACAAGAATGGGAACAAAGTGGGAACAAGAAACAAAGTGGGACAAACAAAGTGGGAACAAGACCCCCACAAGTGGGAACAAGAATGGGAACAAAGTGGGAACAAGAACCCCAAAGTGGGACAAGAATGGGAACAAAGTGGGAACAAAGTGGGAACAAGAACCTCAAAGTGGGACAAGAATGGCAACAAAGCGGGAACAAAGCGGGAACAAAGTGGGAACAAGAACCACCAAGTGGGACAAGAATGGGAACAAAGTAGGAACAAGAACCCCAAAGTGGGACAAGAATAGGAACAAAGTGGGAACAAAGTGGGAACAAGAACCCCGAAGTGCGATAAGAATGGAAACAAAGTGGGAACAAAGTGGGACAAGAATGGGAACAAAGTGGGAACAAAGTAGGAACAAGAATGGGAACAAAGTGGGAACAAGATCCCAAAGTGGGACAAGAATGGGAACAAAGTGGAGACAAAGTGGGAACAAGAACTTTAAACTGTGGGACAAGAATGGAAACAAAGTGGAAATAGAGTGGGAAAAAGAACCCGAAAGTGGGACAAGAATGGAAACAAAGTGGGAACAAGAACTCCAAAGTGGAACAAGAATGGGAATAAAGTGGGAATAAGAACTCCAAAGTGCGAAAGGAATGGGAATAAAGTGGGAACAAAGTGGGAACAAGAACTCCAAAGTGGGACAAGAATGGGAACAAAGTGGGAACAAACTGGGAATAAGAACGCTAAAGTGGGATAAGAATGGGAACAAAGTGGGAACAAGAACCCTAAAGTAGGACAAGAAAAGGAACAAAGTGGAAACAAAGTGGGAACAAGAACCCCAAAGTGGATAAGAATGGGAATAAAGCAGAAATAGAGTGGGAACAAGAACTCCA